AGGAAATTCGGAGATCAAAAAATGATGCAAATGAGATAATTTATTTTGTAACGATCTTGCGTTCATTAAGTAACATTTGAGAGAGTCACCTTGCGAGTTATTCAGTTTTTCTGGCGTGCTACAGAGGGTTGGCGGTGAGAATTTGCTAAATTTTGTAAAGAAGACGTATTTTTACGTGAAAGTGAGCTAGCAAGAACTACCTCACCTTTATAAACTACGAATCGATCTTCGAAACTTCTACCCTGGTTCATTCTTTTGGCCTGCTCCCGAAGAAAACGCTCTTGTTCCCTCTCCTGCGCTGTCATGCTCCTTCTTATGTAGACTCCCTTGAAAGTCGGGGAGTCTCGGAGCAGTCTGGCACGTGAGAGAGCAGAAATCCAATGACTTCTTGTGGGTAATTCAACCTTTACAAGACGTGGCCTGTCAGTCACTCTATTGCCCATACGAAAAACTTTTACAGGTCTACATTCGATATCCAACGCGTCAAGAACTCCACGAACCTTCTGTTCGGTATCATTTTGACGCTCAGACGCCAAAGAAGCGGTCTGACCGTTTCCTGCCATAAGTTCGGGTAGGCCAGCAATCACGATGCTTCTCTGCCTAACATCCCTCTCGACTGCCCCATCTCCAAGCTCGCCCAAACGCAGTAGGATTTCATTCGTAATATCACTTACCTCGGGTATGTTGAGGTCTAACAGCTTTTTGAATAGTTGAAAAATTGTTGTCGGACCACGATTGTTACCATACCCGTTCTGCGAAATTGAGCCGGGAAGTTGTGAAGTGATATTGATATTAGCGCCTTGAGTTAGAGGATCTGCTAGACCATCTGTTTTATTTTGGCGCTGAGATTTCGTGCTTTTTGCAGGCATAGCTTGGATCTGGGGTAAACGAAAGGTGAAAGGAGATTTGCAAAGCAACTACTAACGACACCGGACTAAATACAAATGCGACCAAATATAGTGTCAATTGAATTCAGTGGGAAAAATCCAGAGAAAACAGACGAATTGAATATAAATTAAATAAATTTAAATATCGTATATATATATATATCGAAGACATCGTACCCCCACTTCCAGTATATCAGAAGATTATCCGCGCCGAGCAGAATCGAATGATGGTTTTGGATTCAGAATTCGTCCACTCTGAAGCGAGATATGGCCACGCGACGTGATGTCCATACATGTGGCGACATGTATGGACATGTATGGGCATGTCCATACATGTATGGACATGTAGCGACATGTCCATACATGTCCATAAATGTCCATACATTCGCGTCTATTTTTCAAAAAATGTGAGCGGTATTGTATTAGGTCGGCCCGAAAGTTCTGTCGTTTCATTTTTGAAAATTTGTAGCTTCTCAACGGATTCAATTCATTCTGATTTTTTTGAAAGCGTATGTCTTTTGCTTTTAAATACTTTCCCTATTAGCTATTAATACACACTGATTGCAGAGAGGAAAAATGGAAAAATAAGACCATATAAACTTTGGTCATTTCAAGTTAGGTCGCCAAAAGTCTAAAACGCAACGCAAAAATCTGAAAAGGTAAGTGCACAGGTTCTTTGACCTACTTTTTGCAACAGTGAAAAAGTTTGTGTTGTTTTGGATCCTCTGTGAAAAGTTACGAATTTCAACTTTAACACGTTTCGGACCGGTGCTGCACATGGTGTAGCACGCTCCTTTGAAGGATCTTTTCAACGTTTACAGGAGGTTTTCTTTTTGTCCAAGGTTATCATATCAAAGGCCTAAACTCCTCCTTTTCGAAAGGGTCTGTAGAGCTGTGCCATCGATATTTGTTCAAGAGATATGAGGACAAATCGAACATTAGTTGCAACGAAGTGCGGCAACGCCAACGACGCGTGCGACGTCGCAACTTTCCTTTGCTTCGATATCAAAGAGAAAAACCGTAGTTCCAATAATGATGTGTATCGTGTACAACATAGATACTTTTGATTCCTATTTGAAACTGAGTTCTTACTCCTATCTTTCAAGAATGCATAAAAGTTCTTCTTAGACGTCAAAATTCATACACTTCGAATTCACTCAGAATTTTGGATATGGATCTTATCTGACTTGTTGATAATAAAAGAAACACACAATCTCCGAATTAAGGTCCCTTTGTTGGCTAACGGCTGAAAGTACCCCTTTTTCGCCGCGCGCGATTTCGCGGTCCGAAACGTGTTAATACGGAAAATGCCAAAATTAATTGATTTGTCGCTGTTCTCGAAGATCATAACTTTTCTACAGACACGTCCAAACGGCACGAACTTTTCACAGTTGTAAAGAGTAGTTCAAAAAATCTATGCACTCACGTCTTCAGAATTTTTAGCAGCGGTACAGGCTTTCCGCGACTTAACTCAAAATGATTGAATATGTAATCTTCTTTTACTTTTATCTCTGCAGTCAGTGTTTATTAGAAGCTAGGAAAGAAATTATTCGAAAGCGAAAGACTTACTCTTCCAAATGTAATTACAAGGATGCAAATCCGTTGAGAAAGCGCGAAGTTACAAATTTTTAAAAATGAAACGACAGAATTTTCGGGACAACCTAATATATACAGAATGTCCCAAAAAAATGTACCTACTGTTTGATTGTAAATAATTCTCTTGTAATGAAGTGTTTGGAGAAGCTTTAGATATTATTTTGTAGAGCTGGCTTCAGCTTAGATTTGCAGTATGGAGCGAATCATCTGTTTTCATTACTTAGGATTAGGATACGAACTTCGACAAGGATTTTAGGCCGTTGGAGGCCATATTCTGCCTCGGAACAAGCCAAACCAGCCAGAAACTCTTATACTACGGTAATGGGAGCCGCTGATTTCGAGTTTGAAATTCTCATTTATTATGATGCTTGTTTTCTAAGTTATTTCCGGTAAAGCGTAATCATTCAATTCCAGTATTTGTCAGAAATGTAATTTTACCGTCAAAAAAGCTGAGCACTCGTAAAAAGTATTAGGTGGGAGTCAGCATGCGCGAAAATCTTTGTACGCGATTTTTCAGATTTTTTGAAAAAAATTTTGTTAGATGGTATATTTAACAATGATTCCATATGCTGGAAGTTCTTACTGTAATAGTAATGAAGAGCGATCGATGATTTACTCGATACTGTAAATCTAAGTTTAACCTCGCTCTACAAAATGGTACCTAAGCTCCTCAGAACACTTAATTACAAGAGAGTTATCCACAGTCAAATAGTAGGTACATTTTTTGGGACACTCTGTATATACATATAAATCGAAAATTTTTCATATGCTTATCAGAAAGCTTACCAGAACCCAAACACGCTCACGCACATACACTCCACATGATACTTTCATAGATGCCTTTGGTGTATCTGTTTGTGTGCTACAAAACTAAAATTTCCAAGCTTTTGAAAAAGCGATGCTGTGTTTCTCCAACATAAGTAAACGTATACTACAAGCATCAGAACGATTGGAGGTTCATTCGATGCTTTGAAATTTGACCAAAACCCTTTGGAATAAAGAAAAATGTATTACATGAGATTTAAAGTCTTTTAATATGTTCAAGGTTTCCAAACCATCGACTTGAAAAAGGGACCAGATTTATATTGCTAAACTAGCTGGCTTACCCGGCTCCGCCGTATGTTCCGAATAGAAAATTCCATTTCTCAACCGATCCGGACCAAACTTGGCACACATACACTTCGGGCCCCGGCGGGTGTCATAGGCTACTTTTCGTATCGATCGATGTCGATTTTATCAATTTTTTGCGAAAGTTGGGCTAGGGGGCTGGGTTTTGGCACAGGGGGATAATCGAGCGTGCTGATTACGAATACGATATTAGTTTTCGAAACCGTGCATTACTTTTATCGATTTTATCGATTTTTGCAAAATTTGAGCTAGGGGGCTGAAATTTGGCATAGTGGTGTAATCGAGCATGCTGATCACCCCCACGGGGGTGATCAGCATGCTCGATTACCCCCCTGTGCCAAATCGCAGCCCCGTAGCTCAAACTATGCAAAAAAATCGATGAAATCGATAAAAGTAATGCACGATTTCAAAAACTAATATTGTATTCGGAATCCCCATGCTCACTTACCCCCCGTGCCAACTCCCAGCCCCGTAGCTCAAATTTTTTTTCTCAAAAAGTAGCCTATGACACCCGCCGGGGCCCGAAGTGTATGTGTGCCAAGTTTGGTCCCGATCGGTTCAGAAATGGAATTTTCTATTCGGAACATACGTACACACAGACAGACATACAGACAGACAGACAGACAGACATACATACAAATAGACATTCAGCTTTATATATAAGATTATACCAATACATTTTGCTTTTGCAGCAATAATGCGCAAAATGTTGGCATTACTAGCGTGGCTACTTGTTCAGGCGCAAATTTTACCGCATTTTACCTTCAGGCTCCCGCCAGAGCGCGGAAGCCACGCCAGCGCTGCGCCGGCGCCGAGCCAGCGCCGAGCTGCCCCGGCGCTGTTTCGATCGATACGCGTGCATTTCATTGGTGCGGGGCTAGCTGATCTAATTCTCAGCCAGGTAGATGCACCGACTATTGATCGAATCTGGTAGAAGCTCCGGCAGCCCTTGCCCGCACAGGGTCAGCTAGTCCCGCCCCGAACAAATGGGACAGTTCGGCGCTGGCTCGGCGCCGGCGCAGCGCTGGCGTGGCTTCGGCACTCTGGCGTGAACCTCAGTGCAAGCGCACTATATTAAGCGGAAAATCTACTCGACTGTATTTTGCTTTTTCAGCAATAATGCATGACTACAATAATGACTTCGAGACTGCTAGTGCAGTGAACAGAAAGCGACAGTAAGATGGTCAAGGTACCAGTTAAATTAGTAGTTGAAGTGATAAAGCGTTGCCCATGCTTGTCGTATCAACGTACGCGAAGAAAATTGGTATTAAGCCAAGTGCAAAATAGGAACACGCTTCTATTCCGCTTGCGAAGTTATGCTTTTTTCTCGAAGTTATCTCCAAATTTCCGCTCATCCAGTCTATTCTGATAAGGTCAAAACTGACTCACTGTACACATTGACTTGCTTTTTCAAAGCCACTGCACCCACGAAGGACCTCACTTTCAAAAAGCATACGAAACATCGAAGAGCATCCTGTTTCAATTCTACAGTACAAATTGAGAAGAGACACCGCAGCCTTTCTGAAACAAAAACTTGAGTTTTGTGTTGTCAATACTAGCAATGTGCAGGTGAGGCATGTGGCATAGTAGCAGTTATTGATCTTCTACTGTGCTTGGCCAACAATCCGGTTGCCTTCCGTTTATGGTCAATCAAGCTTTATAAACGTGATCTTGGAAAACAATATTCGTAACGACTGCGAAAAGATATTGAGCGTGGCCAAAGATGCGACTGACGCTTTCGATAATGCATCCAATTTGTATTATGAATTACTAAATATGTGGAATCGGCTTCGCTTGACCTATAGCCTTGCATGAGAAGAAATCATATTTTAGGACCCACTTGGTAGGCTTGGAAAAATTATACGGACGGAACACTTCTGCTTTTAACCTTCTTTGTCAGGAACATGTGCGGAATAGTGACTACTGTCACAAAAGTTTGGCATCTGCATCGTTTCTAGAAAACTAGATAGAACACCTAAAATCGAGCGTGCTGCGACAGCCTCAACAACAAAACGGAGGCAACAGACAACCCTCAACAACAAAACGCCCATTTGGATTGGCATTTCCATAACAGATGAAATTTACCAAGCAACGTTGGAAAAAAAACGAAAAGAAACATGCGTAAATTTGAACTGAGGGGTCAGATGCCGCAACTGCCCTAATCCTTTCAAATTCGAATTTGTCCACTGAACGACTAGCGAGGTGAGAACAGCTATACCATAATCGTCACCAGCATGCCCACTTACCCATGTGCCAGCCCTTAGCCTCATAGCTTGAAATTTGCAACGAAAAAATTGATAATGACAAGTAAGTTCCAAGCTCTTTCTTCTCTAAATCTGGGCATGGTGCAGTAATTGTTGTTGTGTTAGTATGCCGGACCCAGGTTGTACGGTAATATCATTTATTTAATCTTATGTTGCGACAAAGTCGTCGTCTTCGTACTGAAGTAGACTGCAGTCTGAATCTTTGAGACAAGACCGCAAACGCCACGCTAAACATCAGTGACATTTGATTGAACTGGCTTGGCTTCGGAAAGGCGGGGCTTCGTGACCAAGTTAAGCCTAGGTAATGATCAGAGAGCACTCGCGCGAGAGAGACGCAGGTGCATCGCGGGCGCGAGCGGCCTTGATCCAAGTCACAAAGCTCCGCCTTCCCGGAGCCAAACCAGTTGAATCAAAGGTTAGACTTTGTCCCGCGCTCTAGGTCTTGAACGTAGCGTACGCGCCTTGAGCAAATTGACTGATCCACCGGTGTTAATGAAGAAGTCAGTTGCCGAAAGGACGCGGACGACATGATTGCTCAGCGGGTAGATCTTTACATAATATATGTGCAAACTGGGCTGTAACTCACATATCGACAGATAGGGCAAGAGTTGCCGCTATCGATAAGCAATGACTGTTGTTATTTATGCTCGAATTTCTGATGAAAATCAGTGCTGCTTCCACGCTTTTTTCTTCTACAGCTTCTGCCTTGTATGATACGATTGCGTATTTCACAACGCCATCGTCTGCTTTTAACTTGTGTGCATTCGCTCACCTCTTGTTCGATAACTGCTCCTTAACTCTCACTTGGAACATTCTACCCGTTTCTCCAATACATAAAGCTCCCAATCCAGACACCCTAGTTGGTGCACAACGCCTATTCTCGCGCAATCGCCTTTCTTTCCGTATGAGCAAACTATGGAGTTTTCCGAAAGACATCGATGTCATACATCCGTCATCAATCATAATAACGGGCTAAGGATGTTTACGTGACTTGTATGTATGTGTGTATGTGTGTATGTGTGTATATGTGTGTATGTGTGTATGTGTGTATGTGTGTATATTGTGTATGTCTCTGTATGTGTGTATGTGTGTTTATGTGTATGTGTGGTAGGTGTATGTATCATAGCACAATTGGTTCTATCGCGCGAAAGGTTCCAGCAGCCATTTTCCGCACGCAATCTGAGAAGCCAACAGCTGGATTCAAAAGTTTCTTGTTTACCAGCACATACATTCAGGGCAGCCTGGAAAATGTTGCAGCTGTCGGATGTGCTGAATTGGCACAGTTGAACTGGCATGTACTGAAATATTTTTGAAACCTTCCCTTCAGGTGCCATTTTATGCGCATACTGTTACAATATACAGGGTGTCCCAAAAAATGTATCAAACGTTTGATCTTTAATGACTTCCCTACATGGAAAGCTTTCGCGGATCCTTGAGTGTTACATGGTAGAGCTGGGTTCAACTTAGATTTACAGCATGGAGCGAATCATCGATTTCTCTTTGTAGGATTACGGTAGGAATTTTGGACTAATTTTAAGCTTCTGACAGGCGAGAACTGCTTCTAAAAACTCCAAAAAAAACCCGAAAGAGTTGAATTGAGGTCTTCGGAGATGCTGAATCTAATTACAGATTTTTCCACTACCATACTTCCCATCTTCCTACGGTATGCGCACTATAACGCTAAATTTTGTTTTTTTTCCAAAATTCACTAGATCAAGTTGCAGGTACGGCGCGCATATCGTAGGAATATGAGGAGTACGGTATCGAAAAATTTTGTGATTAGATTCAGCATCCCCAAAAACCTCAGTTTAACGTCATTCGTTTTTTTGAAATTTTTTAGAAGCAGTCCTCGCCTGTGAGAAGCTTAAAATTAGTCCAAAATTCCTACCGTAATCCTACAGTAACTAAGAGAAATCGATGATTCGCTCTATGCTGTAAAGCTAAGTTGACCCCAAAATGCCCTTACATACCATTCGAAAACTGAGGTCATGTAGAATCGACATAGACCGTCGACTTTTTTCTAGGTCTTCTGTGCCGCGATATGAGGCATAGTCGACGGGCTACGTTTGTTAACGAAGAATTGCTCTGTAACATAGATAGATAACCAGCAGTGATTAGGTCTTCGTTTGGCAGAAATCTGCTGTTGAAATTGGACATGATTTCAGACAAAATGCGGTTATCTCTCGGTAGAGGGAGGCTAGAAAGAAGTCGACGGTCTACGTCGAATTCCCTTTTCCTGAGCTTTTGAATGGTTTATAGACTGCTAGCGAAAAAACTTGCCGATTTCAAAACTCGAATGGTGGTATTTACTATAAGCTTGCTCCACCGGCTCCCCCAATGTATTGGCTTTTATCGATCACCGGAGCAAGTGCTTTTTAGAGCCGGAAAGGCAAACAGGCCCTGACATGCTTCATACCATCCAAAACTGAGATCATGGAGAATCAAAGTGGACCGTCTGTTTTTCCAAAGCTTCTCTGTTAAACGAGATACGAGCAATTTCATACCCCTACTTACCAGCTAATTTTGTGTAATTATTTTGTGCTTCATTTTTGAAAGAAAGACAAAGATAGAAAAAAGAGGCGGTCTACGTTTACTGGCAATATCTTGCTCTGTGATATTGTTAGACAATCAGGTACCTTCATTCATTCTTCATGCAGGAATTTTTTGACAAAAAACATGTTTTTAATTAAAATGCCATGTAGGTAGAGGGGAGCTAGAGAAAAAGAGATGGTCTACGTCGAATTCTTTTCCATGGCCTTTGTAATGGTACTGAATTGTCATGGAATTAATGCAGGTTTTGAATTCCAACCGCAATAAGTCATACACTTCTCATTTTTAAGTAAGTTACAAAACGCCGTTCGATAGAACAAAGCAAGCTCTACAAGATGGCTTTCTTGCTTTAGTAACAGCTCTGATCCACCAAGAGTTTCGAGCCAAAAACTAGAAAGGTTCAACTGCCCGAAAATTCAAGAAATATTGTAATTCAGTTTATAAAAATCCTACCAAAATTCTAATTTGCTCATGTAAACACTATCCACATAAGACATCTATATACGTCGTTGCCGTATTTTTTTCTCGGAAATCAAGAAAACGGAAATTTTCGTGCATTTGCCAAAGTGCTGTTGTGTCGTTTCCACATAAGTAGTTGTTTACTACAAACAAGTGCAAACGTAAATTTTCAGCTCTCTACAAGCTTTATTTCTCGAGAAATATCGAATACAGTTTACACTAGTCATGCGGTCCAAGCTAAAATTTGAATTTCTCAAGAACTAAAGCTTGTAAAGAGCTGGAAATTTACGTTTGTAGTCCTGCAAGTTTGTAGTATACAATTACTTATGTGGGAATGGCACAGCACCACTTTGGAAAATGCAAAAAAATTTCCGTTTTCTTGATTTTCAACAGAGAAAAAATACAACAACGGCGTATATAGATGCCTTATGCGGACTGGGTTCACGTGAGCGAGTCAGAATTTTTGTAGAAATTTTATGAACTGAGCTAGGATTTTTCAATTTTTCGGGAAGTTGAATTTTTTAGTTTTCGGCTCGAAAATTGTGGTGGATCAGAGCTGTTGCTAGAACAAGAATGCCACCTTGTAGGGCTTGCTTTGCTCCATCGAATGGTGTTTGGCAATCTACTTAGAAATGAGAAGTGTATGACTTATTGCGGTTGGAATGCAAAACCTGCATTAATTTCCGGACAACCTAATATATAGGTTGTCGGGTAAAAAAACTCATGGCTTTTCAAAAATGAGGTGGAGATATTCAATACTAACTTGCTCGAATCCGCTCCGCCTTTCTATGTGTCGCCGGAGCAAGACTTTTTTGGACTGGGAAAGCTTTGTGCGCCAACAATATACCATTCGATAGCTAGGAACACGAGGAATCGACTTAGACCGTTCCTTTCTTCCTAGCTTTTCTGTGAAGCGAGATACGAGCAGTTTTATCTAGCTACAATATTAGCCAATTCTGGTTAATTATCTTTTCAAACCAAGAGGGTTTTTCTTCTAACTTTTATATATTATTCAAAAACTTGAGAAATGAGTATTTTAACTGCTTTTTTATTTTTATTATTCCCCCTAGTGAAAGGAGACATGGGTACGATTATTGTCAGCAAACGTGCATCCATCACTAACTAGTCCAAATTTTCCACTCTTGCTCAACTCTTTCTCAAGACAATGTTTCGTTAATACAATGTTAATTATTTGAAGAATCAGACATCTTTTCAATTATTGATCATGTTTCATTAGCAACGCCACTT